CCTAGTTAGAAGACGATTCATGAAATTTTCATGAAACACACTTTTGTAGCCCTTGAAGTCTAGTTTCTTCTATAAAATTTTTAGTTCAATCGGAAATTGTCCTAAAAAATTATTTTTGAAATACTAAGGTAGTATTAAATTCTTTTTTACCAAAATCCTCTCCAAAATATGTTTTAACTCCAGAATACTTTCCACTTTTTAATTCACCCCATATAACATCTTCCAAGGTTTTTAGACCTTTTGAATTCAATGAAAATCTTATTTTGATTTAAAAATATTTATAAAATTACTTAATCACCATTCTCAAACTTAAATATCTCGAAAACTCAATTTACTCCGAAAGTCAATACGCTTGAAACTCACACTTCATAATCAATGTTTCAACAATGATTCTAAGTTTCTACTATCATTTTATTTATCTTATGATAACTCTTAAGATAATATTATCCTTATTTAATCTTAATACGGGGTCTTATAAATATGTGATTAGTTCTTTAGGTTATCTATGAAATATATTTTCTATAAACTTGTAATCTATGACATGCGTTGAACCTAAATATATTTAATTTATATTTTTCATAAAAATATAAACTAAATAATAAAATTATGTGTGAAATAATTAATTCTTGTTTTAATTATTGCTAAACTTAGTTGCTAATCAATTTTACCCCTCTTTGAGTATTTAATATATTTTTTGTGGCAGTACACATTAAACATTTCCTCTTTTTTTTTATATATTGAAGATTCATTGTGAGATTGTCATTATGAAGTATTTATACATCTAATTATATTATAGATTTATTTTATTTTTTTTCAAATAAATTGATTAAATCGTAATACTATTGTTTATATTATAATAATAAGATATTTTATGCATACTAAAAACTTAAATATGACATATATTTGATCGTAAAATCTAATTTGACAACTTCATGTATATAGTAATAGAATATATATTGAACTTTATTTCTTCATTTAAATTTAGAAAATCATATGCAAATGTATTACTAATAAAAGAATTTAGAAGTCAAATATTATTAATAAAAGCATCCAAAAAAACTTAGAAGTCAAATAAGTATAGGAAATAAAAATTGGATAAAAATAATAAAGAATTCAAAAGTCAAATATATGGATAATACAAGAATCCAAATGATCTTAAAAGCCAAATAGGTGTAAGAAATAAAGATTGAATGAAAGTAATATGTGGGTATCATTGATTTTATAATAAGAATTATGAACAAAATAAAATTTTCAAAAATTTTTCACCGAAGCTGACTTTTGTAATTATGTATAGATATATAGATATAGATATAGATTTCTTAAAAATAATTAAATTCAATTTGTTGTTGACTATGTTTTACATATGTTTTCATATGCGCGTATCTCTACAACGAATTCATGTTTGATATACATTGTGAGACGATTTGTGTGTATTTCAACTGATCGTGGTGCTTAATAGTCTAAATTTGTGCTTTTTACAAAATGCAACTTTACCTAATTGGAAGCTTTTTGCGGACTCTCCATCATATATTCTTTGATTTTTGAAGATAAGTCGATTTAGATAAGAGTGGAATTTTGGACACGATCCGAACACTCTTGAAATCAATAAGAAATTAGTGAGTTAAGATTGACTAATTCTTAATACTAACTTGAAATTGGCATAACTTGTTAATACAAATAATAAACAGATCAGGATAGTGTTAAACATGAATACCCTGAATTTTGACACGAAAAATACATTTACTAGAAAAAGTAAAATTAAAATAAATTATTTTAGTTTATAAAGACTTAAATAAATTTTTATGAGAAGTGGTAAAGTGATTGACAAGATCCATAAAACCAAAACTCTCGAGCCAATAGCTGAGTCAGCCAATATTAATGAACCAATTGAGTCTGAACCAGTTATTGAAAAGGAAATAGAGTTACCTGATAAAAAAGATAAATGAAATCCTATTCTTTTATTTTTTTCCTTTAAGAGTTGAGAAACTTAAACAATTAAACAATCATGTTGAAATCTTTGAGTTATTTGAGCAAATAAAGATAACATCCCCCGTTAGATGCAATCAAACAACTTCCATTATACGTCAAATTTTTGAAAGATCTTTGCACAGTAAAAAAAATGATAAATATACAGAAAAAAACATTTTTAATTGAACAAGCTAGTGCAATCATTTAGCACAAGTTTATAGTATAATTGTATATTAAGTCATTCACAATAAATAGTATAATTGTATACTAATTATGATTTTTTAAGAACAAAAATAGATTTTTATTTGTATTTTTATTTTAATAAATGACATAATAAAATATGAATTTTTGTTGTAAAATTCATGTTCTATTATGAATGAGTTAAACCCCTTGTTTGATTTTTTAGTTTTATTCCAATAGATGGTATAATTGTACACTAATTACGATTTTTTAAGAAAAAATTAAATTTTTATTTTTGATTTTATTTCAATAAATGATACAATAGAACATGAATTTTTATTGTAAAATTTAAAATATTTTATATTCTATCTTTGATTAGAGTATTTTTGGTCTAAGTATAACATTTTAAATTTAAAGGGTCTAAGTATTATATGTCTATAAAATTCAGGGGGTCTTGGTGTAATTTATTGACGAATATATTAAAGAACATTGACGGCAGGGGTCTAAATGTTACGCGGGTACAAACATTAAGGGGTCTGTGTGTAATATTTCAAATGTCAGGGGATCTGAGTGATTACTTGACAAACCTCAAGAGATTTAGGCGTAATTCTCGCAAAAATAAAACCATCCCAAACCTTGCTTCAAGTAAAGAATGAGTTTATAGCATTGCAATAGCTCAACAAAAGAAGGTTGCACACCAATGTCATTCGTCTTGGCCTAGAGAACGCCTATACCAATCAAAAAGCTCCAACTATTAGGAGTTAATTGGGCAGGAGTTAGGTTCAATAGATAGAAAACCTCTCTAATATACCTAGGGAGTGAAAAACGGAATCCCGCTTAGAAGGTGGACATGTAGAAGCAAACTTTAGAGAAGAAAAAGAGTTAAAGATTTAATTAGAAGAAAGGACTCATAGGCGCTCGGAGCTTGAAATTGAATATCGAGCTCTGAGCTTTTCGAGGGAGCCCTCGCTAAGATAGCTAAAGATGCTCTTAGCCCCGCTAATCCTCAAAGTTGATAACCCAACCTCTTGAATAGAATTAAAGTCTTCCTCGTTGGCAGCATAAGCCTGGGCCACAAGTGCTGAAATGATCTCAGTAGAAGGATAATCAGAGTCAATAGCCATAACCGAGAAACTGTGGTGACTAGTGCACAGATTTGGAGGAAGGGAGCGATTAACTCTACTAGCGATGAGATAAAGACAAAATTCGAATGCAAAGGCGAGATGAGCTCGCTCACAAAAAACCGTAGAGGTTCTAAGTCAGAATTTTTCCACCTCATAAAGCAAAATTAATAAAAGAGAAATTGAAATACGTGACTCCAACCTATGCAATCCAGAGTGATTAATCATGTTGAAATAGGAAAGCAAAAGAAGACTAGGGCAAAGAATCAAAGGTGCACCAGAATTTTAGAAGCTCTCAAAAGACAATTAGAGAGGAAGGCGGATAGCTCTTATATACTGGGCCCACAACAGCTCTTCGGCAATTGAGTATACTAAGCAAACACTTCTACTCCTTCCAACGGACAATGATGCAAATACTATGGTACGTGGCTCTTGTATAATAATGTGACAAATACTATGGTACTAATAAAAAAATTTAATGATAATATTATTATTATGTCATATCAATTATAATTTTAAAAATATATAAATTCATTTTACCATAGTTAATAATATTTTACTGAGTAAATGCACCCATATCACCCTAATCAATTTTATTTTTTGGGCAGCTAAAGTGCAACTTGTTTGAGATTAGGATACATCCTTTGTGAAAAATAGATAAAACTCAATTCTGTTTAAAAAAATTCTAAATGAACGAATGAATCAATTCAATTCAAATTTGAAAAGCCATAAGGAATAGGAAAAGAATCAAGTTACAGCCCAGCAACACCATTGTATCGAAATTAAAAGGCATGTTTCCAATGCCTCATCAAATAATTGTACAAATTACTACATCCAAAAGTAAGAGATCTTAACGGTAAATCGACTCTGATTGAAACGTATGTAACCTTTTTGTATCAAAACTTGAATCAAGTTGAAGGGTACCCAATCCCTATTCATTAGTTGCAAATTTTGGTATATACCAAACGTTATACCATAATCATTACCTACACTATGATAGTTGGACTAAATGAGCAAATTGTAAATTAACAAATAATCCTATTTGCTTGTGCAACAATTTATAGTGTGTGTATGTACGTATAATAAGATATATAAGATAGGTCGCCAAATTGAAACTTAACAACCAATAAGCATCCAAAATCTAGAAAATTGCGTACATTGTTATCTATAGATAGTAGATAGATATGTCAGGTTTTTAGGTACAAATAATTTTTCTTTTTAGTTTTTAATATTTTTGTGGTGTTTGTCTAGGCTTGGTTATCCATTTTGACTGGCAATAGTTTTGATTTGTGAAAGACGAAACTAGGTTAAGTAAGACAATCTAAGTTCAATTTTACTGTGGTCGGTTGGCCGTGGGATAAAGAATATTGGAGTTTGACTCAAACTCTCATTAGTTATTTAATAAATTTATTTAGAATAGGATATTTGTCTTTTAGTTTAAGAAATCTTTTTAAGTCATACGGCAATAAGGAATTTTAGTTAGATTAGAAATAAGATTTGTTTATGTTTTTAAGCTATTCATTGTAGCGGTCTTGAAATAGGCTGCATGGTTTGATGTAATACAGTTTGCTTTAGTTTCGTCGCAAGGATTCGTGACTTTCATTGCTTCGTTCGCTTTTTTGTTTTCTAAATTTTGTTTGAATCTTTGATCCTACTATGAGAGAAAGACCACAGAAGAGAGGGAGAGAGTACTTTGAGAGAAAAATATCCCAGTTGGTGGGAAGAAGAAAGATGATGGGGAAATCTGAAACAATGGCAAGAGAGATTGTTACTGGTTGCAGAGAATCAGATATAAAGGAGGCAATGGACCTCTGCTGCAATTATTTACCAGGAGATTTAATGTTGGATATCCTTTCAAGACTACCTGTAAAGTCTCTTATGCGGTTCAAGTGCGTATCAAAAACTTGGTGTTCTCTTCCCCACTCTGCTCCTTTCATCACCATGCATCTTCTCAATCAAAACAACAATACCAGTAACACTGTTGTTCTACTCAGTTTACCCTATTTTGTTACTGACCTGGGTGATACCGTTGTCATGTCTTTGTTTTATAATGAAAGATTTCATGTGGCCATGAAGATACCCAGCCCTTTTCAAACATTTTGGCATTGTTCATTCATTGTAAATATTTCTAATGGCTTAGTTTGTGTTCATGACTCAACCTCATGTTACACCTTGTGGAACCCAGCCACTAGAGAGGTCAGGCATCTTCCGGAACTCCGAATCGGATGCATTCGGACAAGAAACATTATTTTGACTTTTGTGGATTTTCTTTTCATAAAATATCTAAGGATTACAAGTTGGTCAGAATAGAAGATGATTATGGTTGTCAGAGACCCACCAAAGTTGAGGTATTTACCTTGAGCACTAATACTTGGAGGGAGGTTAAGGCAGTGGTGCCGTGTGCAATTAGTGAAAGACATTCAGTCGTTACCAAGAATAGATTTTTGCATTGGATGGCTACTGGATTTGGGAATCGGATAAGTTATAATTACGTACTTACGTTTGATTTGGAAAATGAGGTGTTTAGGCAAATAACAGTGCCATATGCTGATACTCCTTGGTTGGAAACATATAGGAGACTTGTGGAATATAAAGAATCACTAGCCATGTTTGTTTACCTAGAAAGTTGGTTTCCAGGAGTGACTGTTCGCTGTGAGATGTGGGTGATGAATGACTATGGTGGTGGTGGTACTAAGGAGGTGTCTTGGATTAAAGAACTAAGAGTTGAACATCTTTCAAGGGTTGGGAGACCATTGGGGTGGTTGAATGGGGACATCGTCTTTGGACCTTGGCTAGGATACGGCCATAACGTTTTCTTGTATGACCCCCACACCAAACAAGTCAAAGATATCTCAACTCATGAGGGCTCTGGTTATTTCTTTCCTTACAAAGAGAGTTTAGTTCTCGCTAGAGGAGGAATAAACTATCGAAGTTGCCCAGTTTGTTGTTGCCGTTCAGGGTAGTACTAATTTGTTGAGGTTATACCAAAATTATAGTTGTTTGGGGCTGATACTAACGTAGTTGGATCAATGCAAATTTCTTTTTTTGTCATAAAATAACTCCATTGATTTGTACATTTTGACCTAAATTTTAATCAAGTCCTATCTAGTTGTAATTTTTGCTTATGGTAGCTCATTCAGTACTATAGTCGAATGATGTCATTCATGTCTAAAAATTATAGGAAAAATGCTATTTAGACATAATTTGGAGCCCTAATCAATTATAGTTGTTTGATCAAAGGTGGGCTCCTTCTAACATTGTATATTATAACTAATTTAACAGCTGCATTTAGGTCCTTAGAGCATTGCTCATATTATATTTACTCAGTATCTTTGAAAGGAACATGTTATTGAATGATCTTATGTAAACTTAGATAACATCCATTGTTGTTGAATTTTATGATTTCTTCAATTGATTAATCAAAAATTCATTGTAGTATCCAAAACTTTTGGTTCAAAGGTTATAAGACAGTGGGCTGAATTGTAACGATGACATTGAAAGAAAAGAGTTTGGTTTGATGAAATTATGAAAGTTGGTTTTGAAGTTATACATAATATTTTTGCATGTTAATGGGCACAAAATCGTTTGAGTTACCTGCATTAGTAGCAAATTAGGATCTTATAGAATGAGTTTGAAGTGGGTTATCATGAGATATTGAGTAGGAAGAGTTAGAAACATGTTTAGATAGTGAAGGAAGAGTGAAAATGCTTTCAAGAAGTTGTAATTGGGTTTGAGAGGAACAATCAAGAAGTTGTATGGTGGTATAGTTTGGTCAACAAATCAGACGTTCTCCTCAACTAGATCGAGGAGCCCTCGGTTGATCATTCCGGTGTTTCGCTCAGCTGACAAAGCCATCGGCTCAGATGTCGGTCATTCGAATGTTGTCTATGACCGTTGGGTGACGTCAATTAGCCCAAACGTCTGCAATTTTTTTGATGTTCATCTTTTTGGACTCTATTTTTCTATTTTGCACCTAGACGATAAGGGTGATAGAAGTTCATTAGGGCTCTGACTGAGACAGGTGATAAATCAGTCAGTGGATCCGCGCTGTGAAAGCCACAACGATTGGACATTGAGTCAATATTCAAGTCCAAAACTAGTTCTCTACATGTTAATTGGACTGTTTGGTGTCTAAAATATTTCCAACCGCTGAAAAATCATGTAGTAGGACCTAGTAAGCTTTCATAATAGATTGGACTGCTTTTTTTTACATGCATTCATTTATATATCAGTTATTTATAATTCTTGTATTTGTACTAGGTTGAAGTTCAAGACTTAAATCCTGATGAATCTATACAAGGAATTAAATTGATCACAACCATGCTTTATGTTACGGCGCAAATATTAAATTAACAAAACAAAAACAGTATGATAAACATAGAATAAAAATAAACTATTACATATGGGAGTTCAAGATGTAATTTTTCAATCTGCAACGAAGCTATGCAAGCAATGACATTGGTTTGAGGTAGCCTCTTAGCAAAATGATGAATTTTTCTTGAAATTCTTCGGTTTCAGATGACCCATCTAGCAGTGTTAACTCCAAAACCTCGATTCCAAAAATCCCATAGCATAGCAATGTGTGTGTAGAATTATCACTACAAAATTAAAGTCATGCTTTTTGGCTATTTTTTATCATTTAATAAAAATTGTATTATGACCATGGTAAAAATTGGTCTTCATGGTCGGCCAATATAGGTTTTTGTCCCTAATTTTGAGTTGAAGTCATTTGCAGCCATGATCGTGCAGTTATGACTGGATATTCTAGTTTTTTACATGTTATTTCTTGTGCTGATACCATATTTGAATACCCTTAACATATTATAAACTTAGATATCATAATCTTACAAAACTACTGTGGCAGCCTCAAACACAAAGTCTATCATCCCAAGATTTTACTCTTCCTAAAAAACTTAGTCAATGAAAAGGATATCTTGGGGTGATACTCAGTTGTATAGGAAAGGTGAAATCTTTGATACCGTGAGACTTGGTCATGAACATTTTCCAAATATGTCATAGGTATGCATGATTTCAGTAAAAGGACTCAAGTGTGATAACCGAAGTATGAGGACATATAATAAAGATTTTACTGAGATATTCATTCATATCTGCACCATCATGGCTATAACGTCTTCAACTCAAATCCAGGAACAAAAATCTATATTGGCCGACCATGGTCATTTTATACCGTGGTCATAATGCAATCTTTCTTAGATGATATAATATACCCAAAGGGATGGGGATAGTCATAATTCAACACTACAATTCTGCAAAGAAAAGCAGAACTTGTTAGGGCACTTTGCAAAAGATTAATAAAAGCAAAGAACTAAAATTAGTGCTCAATGAGTGCAAAATTTATAGCTATTACTGCTATTTGATTGTAAATTTGTCCCAGAATAGTCCACCCCTTTTAAACTAGTGTGCTCACCTCCCTATGACAAATCTCCATGCATCACCCCCGGGTTTCCTTTATCAATTTATTTATTCTTTTTGGATGGGAGCTATGCTTAACCTTCTCATTTGTCTATTAAACTTATTAACCAACCCCTCCAATCACCACCCCAAACCAAAATAATAGAGATAAAAAAGAAGGGAAAAAAACCCATGTTCACCCATTAATCATGACCATGTGAGTCAATATATCACACTAAACAAGATTCAAATATTAATCTACTAAATAAACAAATTTGTATTCCTCTAGTGAAGATAGCTATGTAAGATGCAAAACGACCCCATGAGCTGATAACCACGCATACAAACACGATTGCAAAAATTAGCGGACACATAGCACTTTCCAAGGAAAAAGATGGAGAATAAACATGAAAAGTGGGGGTTACCATGCTTCCTTCATCAATTTGTTTTTTGAAACGTTTTGAAGATAGCAGGGGGGGGTACTTCCATTATTACCCACATCAAGGTTTGAATCAAAGAGCTTAAATATCATGGTCTTGTCACCGGTAGGGTCTCCAAAGCACTTCCTGAAAAGCAAACTGCTTTGGTCACAATTGTGAACTGGATATAAAAAAAAAAACTCATACAAGCAAGTATTCCTATGAAATGAGCTCTGATATCTTTCTACCTAATAAAATAAATATATGTGAAGTTGTGGATAACCAAAAAGGTGTTCTATAAAAATAAATGAAGAGAAGGAAGAAAAGGTATTCGAAAATAGTTAATGTATGAGAAGGAGTTAGATAATTCCTCTATTGGATGGCCCAACTGATAACAAAAGGTTCTAAATATTATTAAAGAGAGAAACCAACTCCTAAATATTATTACCGCAACTGGAATGGCACGAATAATAAAAAGAGATGAATTATCATCAGAGGATTACAACAACAAACACAAAGGAAAATTCTAGGGAAGAAAATTATCACCACTAGTTTCGTAATTTCACTAACAGTGACAACAAAATTCAAGCACAATTTTCAAATTCAACACAGTAACACTCAAATTGGAACACAAATTCAACGCAATACTTGGTATACATTACAAAATCCACGAAACATCAAACAAAACTAATTCATTCAAGAAATTTGATATAGGATTTCGAAATCAATTTCTAACCTCGCCAACGTTAAGCTGAAGAACAGAGGAGTAATGAGTGAAGACAGATCCTTGAAGGGCTCACGGGTTGCTTCTTCTGCAGTTCGCCGAATCTGAAAACCCAGTGTTCACGGGCTGACTGAGTGTTGTCGGTGTATGGGAGAGAGAGGTAGGTGAAGTAAGAGAGGAGAAAGAGGGAATAGTCCAAGAGAGAGATATTGATGGTTACGTCATGGTGTAACCGTTCTATTAAGAGCGAATTAAACTGTATACCTTAAAAAATTCAACTCAACTACGGCGTGTGCATTTGTCCAATAGGGTTTCTGAAACGTTCTTCTTCTCAACCAAAAGCTCAAACTTGTATATAAAATAGGGTTAATCTCATTTTATACCTCAAAAAATTGTTCGAATCTCAATTTATACCTTCAAAGATTAAAAATATCAATTTACACCCTCAAAGATAGAAATTTGTATCAATGTGCACCCCTAAAGATCAAAAATCTCAATTTACACCCTAAAAAATAGAAATTTGTATCAATGTGCATCCCCAAAATAAAAAATCTCAATTTACACCTTCAAAGATAGAAATTTGTATCAATGTGCACCTAAAATTAAATTAATAAATTATACCTTGATCCCCTCATATTTGTCACTTAATCATTTGAACTCCTTCACATTTAGAATATTCCCCTTACATCTCATGACGTTTATGCATGTATAACACATAACCACTTTTCGTTGATATATATTAATATAATCGTTAAAAAATATGATTTTATCCTAATATAAAAGTATAATTTTATATTACCTTTTATTTTGTGGATTCGATATACTCTAAAGTTGAAAATCAAGCTTACCATTTTAATGTATAATAAAATGTAGATATTTATATAAAAAGTAATATGAAAAATATTATATCAAGATTTATATTTTATTAGACATTCAAATGGTAAACTAGATTTTGAACTTTATAGTATATTGAACCTATAAAATAAAGGGTAATATGAAATTATAATTTTTTATTAGGATAAAATTATATTTTTTAACGGTTATATTAATAGATATCAATGAAAATGGGTTACGTGTTATACGTGCACAAATGTCATAAGATGTAGGAGTAATACTCTAAATGTGAAGAGATCTAAATGATTAACTGACAAATATGAGGGGATTTAGGTATAATTTATTAATTTAATTTTAGGTGCACATTGATACAAATTTTTATCTTTGAGGGTGCAAATTGAGATTTTTTATCTTTGGGGTACACATTGATATAAATTTAGGGTACAAATTGAGATTTTTGATCTTTGGGGGTGCACATTGATACAAATTTCTATTTTTGAGGGTGTAAATTGAAATTTTTGATCTTTGAGGGTGTAAATTGAGATTCGAACAATCCTTTGGAGTGCAAAATGAG